TATCGAAATATTCGATTTCAGTTTAACCGAAGACGAAATTGCTAATATAAATAAGTTTAATAAGGACATAAGAGTTATTGAACTTGCTGAATGGAAATATAATCCTTAGTATCCATTTAATAAAGCCTAAGAAATCAGGCCACGACTGTCTCACAGTAATAAATTACAAATTTCAATAAATTTTTTATTAATTTTGATGTTTTATATTTTCCTCACAATTTCTAGATTTGTTGAAGTAAGTAGTGTTGTTATTCGATAATATCTATTGAGAATTCATTTTTAAAGGTTAATGATATATTTTTTTAAATACTCAGACCAGCGGTAGGAAGTAGCATCAAAGGTGTAGCAGCCAGACTAATCAACCCTAAACGGGAATAAATAATATATACTCTGCTGCTACCATAACGCGGAAGGCGAGGATAAAAAACATTTATTTCCTAACTATCCTTGGCTACTGTGATACTGCGGACTGCATATAGATAATTTGACGTTCTTATAAAGAAACAAGAAGCAGCCGCAAATATCATTCAGCGCCACATCGACTTCACACGCCGCTATCGTCACGTATCCGTCGACCAATGGTGAGCCGTTTCTTCAACGCCGCAGTTCGCTTCTTCTTGCTGTTCCGGAGCTCCACGCCGCCGCCGCTCACCGACTACGCGCGCTCATTTTTTTTTTTGCGCCCGAAGCAATTAAAGGGCTACCCTATACGTAGGGAGGCGGAAAATGCATTACGCATACCACGATAGCCGGTCTATCGTGGTTATGAGGGGCTCACTGTCCTACCGGGGACCCTAAGTGATACCCTCTAAAAACCGTCTTTGGGGACAGGCAACCGGCTGATTAAGCTCTATTGTGCCTTATCATGAGCGACCCTCTTTTGGGAAAAGAGGGCGCAGGCGGCTAAGTGCCGCTGAGGGAGTGCCTACGAAGGCAAATCAATGTTAGTTATTACAATAATTTTATTTAATTAGAGTTGGCCTGAGCCGCCAGGAGACAGTTCAGGTCGTTTGAAAGTTTATTAGGCGGGTCCGAGAGAGAGTTTCTCGGCCTGCGGACACGATAGCGAGAGGGGGTGGAGCTGCATAAGAAGCTGCCTCACGAATTAAATGGTTTGGGTGCGACTCTGAGGCTTTGAAGAAGTTCTCAGATAGTTTTTTAAAAAATTGTTGAATTGTTGGGAGCTCTAAGTCCCGATGAAGGTCGGCATTACGGACGTACCAAGGTGCGTTCGCAGCTCGACGACAGAAGAGGTTCTGAACTATTTGGAGTTCATTTAAAATATTGGGGTTTGCGTGGGCAAAGACGGGGCCCGCGTAGGACATGACTGGTCGTATACAGACCTTGTAAAGGGTACGATTGTTTCGAAGGGACATTTTACTGTGTCGGCCCAACATACTGTTGAGCCTACTCAGATAAAATCGTGCGTGACGGGTTACTCTTTTGACGTGGGGCTTGAAAGTGAGCCCTGTGTCTAGAGTGACACCTAAATATTTGGCGGACGTATGCCAGGGGACAGGGGTCCCTAGCATACGTATTGGTGGAGTGTTTTTGAGACGGCGTCGTTTATAATCGAAGTGAACGGCGGAGCTCTTCTCCGGGTTCACATCGATGCGCCATTTTTTGAACCAAGCTCCTAGGTCATCAACTGACTTTTGGATCTTGTTCCGTATGAAGGGTAGTGAGACACCTTTGCAGTAGATGGCAGTGTCGTCTGCGAAGAGGGAGAGTTGAACACCTTTCGACGGGATGGGAATGTCGTTGGTGAACAGGATGTACAGCAGAGGAGCAAGTACTGAGCCCTGAGGGACACCAGCCTTGATAGTTCGTTGTGAAGAAAGCGTGCCTTCGTGTCTAAAACGAAAGGTACGATGTTTTAAATAGGAGGCCACGAGACGAACTAGACGATCGGGGAGACCTATTTTATAGAGCTTGTAGATGAGGCCTGTGTGCCAGACTCTATCGAAAGCTTTAGCTATATCGAAAAAGACCGCGATGGTCTTATGACGACGAGGATAGAAACCGCTGAGGATATATTCCACAATGCGGTGGACTTGTTGGGGACATGAGTGCTTGGCTCGGAAACCGAATTGATGGGGAATGATAAGAGGGTCGCCGTCTGTGGGAAACAGATAGCGCCTCATACGCGTTTGGATGACTCTTTCGAAGAGCTTGCCCATTGCCTTGAGGAGGCTAATGGGGCGATGGCTGGAGGGGAGGTTGAGAGGCTTGCCTGGCTTGGGAATTCCAATCACAGTTGCCTCTTTCCACGTAGTGGGGAAATAACTTAGGTTTATTTTAGGTTTTTGGATTTAACCTAGATTAAGAATCAAAATGCAGATGCGTTGTCACCCCTGTGGACTAATATGTAAGGCCTCGTCTCCGGATCTCTACACTCACCATCACCGAAACACAGCAGTATTAAGCTGCTATTTTACGCTGGTATTCTGAGAGAGCGTGGTCCTTCCCCAGTCGAGCCGACCTATTCTTGCTACCACGTATAAATTGATGCTACAGCTAGTTATTTTATGGTTGCAGCATACGTATTTGCGCAATATAGCAGCTTAATACTTCTGTTTCGTAAGTGATTATGTGTTCGTTATTTCGTATGGTGAGTGTTGAGAACCGGAGACCTGGTAATGAAGCATTTTATCTTAGATGTTTCTTAATCGAAGACAGATGTAGATCTATCCATGGCTAAGGGGGTGTTACGTAAGCAAACTTTCTATGATTTTAGACCCCACCCCCTGTAAAATCAAAAATAAGAAAATTGCGAACCCCGGCTCTACATTGTTGCTTTTTATGTCTATTTTTCAAATAATAAATTAAAGAAATGTAGTAATGTAGTACTGTGTTTCATTGTCGCCTTTATACTATTAAAAAATCAAGACCGTTATGCGTAGTGGTCAGAATAAACGACTCGCGGGACGCGGATAGAGCTATGCAAATATTTTGTTGAAAGTTTGAGTTTTGTCTGCATTTTTGACAATATATTGAATTTAATGCCGAATACAGCTTTGCCGACATTTCTTTTACCCTTCAATACCCATAAAAATCCCATGCAGTCGCATGCGCCCGGCAAATCCCGAGCGGTCACATGCGACAGCACCCACCCGCAGCACCTAAAACCATTAAAACTTATATTTAGAGGCCACTTTCTATAAAGAAGTTCGGTAATATAAAAACTATACAAAATTCTTTATATAAAAGTCAGGTTTCACTTCATTCCAAAAAGACTATTGTATTTTGATAACAAGAAAAAAACATACCAAGCGAATGTTGGCAATAGCGTGAAAATCACAATTATTTCAATACATATTATTCGAAATTATTTACGTAAAAAGAAAAATTATATTTTCACAAAAACTTTCATTACAATTTTATAATAAAATACTATACTAAAAAACTAAAAAAACCAAAAATCAATACAATAACATTCACTCGAAAATGGCGTACGTAATGAACGTAGATTATAAATAAGATATTCCATAACAGTTTTTTTATTGCAATAGAGTAATTTAGAATTCTCTATTGCAATAAAACTTTAATTTAGAATATTGATTCTATAATGCCAAACTTGAAAAGTAAAGTAAACGAACAGTAGTCTCTAAATATAAGTTTTAATGGTTTAAAGTGCTGTAGGTGTACGCGGTCGAATCCGACCGTTTGACGGTCTTCGACGGAATACGCTAATTAATAGAAAGGTTTGTTCTAGTATTAAAATGAAAAGAGCAGTACTGTCACCTTTTTCTTTATTTTATATTTGAACCATTTTTAATTAACTAATCTTATAAAGAAAAGAATATTATACTTAGACAAAATTTGCATTCAGAAATTCTTTATTTTAAACAAAATATGTAATAAAGTTGCCTGATTTAAAAGTATATATTGTCGAAAAGCAAATTCCATGATATGTTTTATTTATATTGACATTTTAGTACAGAAAGCAGTATGGATTTAAAAACAAAGTATATTTTTGGACAAACGTGTGCAGATTTCGATCAAATTTTATTATTTTTATAGCAAACAATTCAAAAAGAATCATATATGAGGTAGAGAGAAGATAACTACTCTACCAGTCAAGAAATTATTAATAAAATAGTATACTACATAACGAGTCTATTGATTATCACATTTGATTTTCGAAAAAAAAATATAATTGAAATTATTGCATGTATGGTCTAAATTTTGTCGAGTAGTTAATTTTTTTTAAATGCCATTGGTTTTGTAAAATAACATTCAAGCTATTAAAAATATGTGGGACACATTTTTGGAATTTTATTAGATGGTACAAAAATTGCTTTTTAATGTGCGTAAAATGTGTTTTCCCTAAAGATATAATTTGAAAATTATTATTTAAATAAAAAGTATTGCAAAATTTATCTCTTTATAAAACATAATAGTAGGGACTCCGAAAATATAACGAAATTCAGGCATATAAATTAAATATCGTTGATTAAGCCGTGATTCGGAATTTAGTAACAACAAATGTACATGAATATTCCATAATACTGGTAGATTCAGCAAGAATAATACAAAAATCATGCATCAATAACCTGATATTAACAGTACAACCATATTTATGATTACGAATATCTACAATAAACCCGATTTTTTTCTTAGATTTTTTATATCTTATTATTCAACCTCAAGAACAACAAAAATGAATAAAATACTGCGTACATTTTAAATGACGAAGGAATCCATGCTAAAACCATACTTAATCTAAAAACATGCACTCTGTACACATGCATCCAAAATGTGCATGTGTGCGTCGAGCAGCGGAATTTTACATGAAGTTAAAGAAAAAGAATAAAGGTGTCAGTGTGTGAGTGCGTGTCAAGAAATAGAGCATGGTTTCGGCTTAACTTGAAATGTACTGTTCTCTCGATTTTATCCTTCTTTATTGGTCTGAGAGTTCGACAGGATTCATAAACTTTAGTATTAGTGTACCTATGATAAAAATTACAAAAATATCCTTAAACCATTAAACTGACTAATTAATCAATAGCCAATTGCCTAAACGAGCCATCTATACCGAAGAGCTCGTCGTAATTAGTTGGTTTTCCAGGTCTAAGGCTTTCATTAGCCTTAACTGACTCTTGGGCTTGGAACCATTCACGATAGTCTATCAGTTTCTGTGTCCATTGATCTGAAACACAAGAGGTAATAAAATAATTAATATGTATACAAAACATCGAGAACCGTCATCATCATTACAGCCCTTCACAAGTCCACTGCTGACATAGGCCTCCCGCAAGGAATGACACAAAACATGGTCCTTAGCCACCTGAAACCATCGACTTCCTGCATCTCTTACCAGATTGTCACTCAATCTAGTGAGGGGTTGCCCTACACTACGCCTACCGATACAAGGCTGCCACTCGAGACCCTTTTTTCTAGAGTATCGAGAGCGGTACTATTAATAATAATTTATTTATTTCTCACCACAAACGACATGGAAGATATATTAGTGTTACATCTCTATTTTAACAATATTATGTCATTCATGGGAGACTGGTGCCCGTGTAGATTCAAAGACCCGTATTACAGGTCACCATAATATTACATATTAGTTTTATGGCAAATATTAATAAATATTAATGATTAAGCACTCCAACTAAGCTCGAGCTTATGCTTGGGGAGGTTTGTGCGCTAAGTTCAAATCACAATAATTAACATTTGTGATTATAAGCACTTGGTGGGACTCTAAACTAACTAACTTTATTCAACGTACCTATATTTACATCTTTTTTAAACCGTAAAGCAAATCCGGTTAGTTTATAAAGTAAACTGGTGAAAATTATAAGTGAAATAAGTACATGTATCAATGCTTCATAAAATTTAAATTCGATTGAAGCGACAGTAGTTCATGGTTAAGAGACACCGCACATTGCAGACTTTCTATCTATCGGGCGACAGTTTAGCCGGTGTCTTAATCAGTAATGCAAGTGGTTAGATTATGAAGATTAGTTATCCGCTAGTAAATCAGTTTGATGGGCTACACGATTCACTTGCTGTCCCCTGCTTAATCAGTACGGCGCTCTTCAACGCGCGCATACACGCCGATTGCTTACTCGTCTACTAGGTCGATAACGGCAGTTTGATGGGTACACGATTCACTTGCTGTCCCCTGCTTAATCAGTACGGCGCTCTTCAACGCGCGCATACACGCCGATTGCTTACTCGTCTACTAGGTCGATAACGGCACTTAGGTCGGAATTTTGCCGCACATAATACCATGCATCAAAATGGCGCCGATTGTCGAGTCATCTATTTTACAGTTGATAGAGGTAGTTGAAAAACGACTCGCGCTTTATAAGAAAAAGCTAAAAGGGTACTATGATGTATAAAGAAAAAGCTGGTGGAAGAAGTAATCTGCCACCGTATATAGGATGCACCCAGTGTTCTCTTCTTGATCAGTCTTCTTCGTTGTATTATGGCAATAATAATAACATTTCTGGACAATATTTTAGGTTTCATTACAATTTTTTCGCAAACGATCAGCCGACTGTTGGCTAATGTGTGCACTCACCACTAACCGGAGAGTTTAATTGGCCCAGTGTTCGCATTAGCAGCCCAACCTGACTAAACTCTTCCACGTTAGAAAGTCTGCAGTGTGCGGTGTCCATAAGGGTTTAAACTGCAAACTTCACAGTCGTATAGGTCGCGCCACGAAAGATGAAATTAAATGGAAGTGCGCAGAAGCAAAAAATATGTGTCGGCACGGTGAGGTGTGAGGTACGACGACTTGTGTCGTCTTGTGTACTATCGATATCGAAAGTGTTAGCGACTACCTGTTATAAAATTTTAAATATTTGCGATTATTTTTGTACTTTTAAAAATATTGTATATAATATTTTCAAATAGTGTGCAAATATTTATTACTTTATAAATTCTTTTGGGACTATTTAATATTCGTAGTATATTGTATAAAGTTATAAATATTTTGTTGTTTTCTACAAGATGATTTTGTTTTGCAAATTATTGCCTGTAAAATATCCTTATAATCGAAGACTATCGCATAGTATAGTTTAAACAGCAATTACAAATACAAAAATACATATAAAAATATTTTATTTCTTTAACTAAGTGTACATAAAATTCAGAATATTATTTACCTAACGATGATATATAAATATATCGTTCCATTTTCGTGGAGATTGATGTGTAGTTATAATGTTGACCTTTGACTTTTTACATATTAAAATGCCATAATAAAATTTTCATTTTTCTGCTTGATTGTACATGCGCAGTGGACTCTATTTAATTTCACCTTTAGTGGCGCGACCTATATCCGCTACTCGATTTGTCGTTAATAACTTCTAGCACAATTATTTAAGATTATTAAGAATTAAAAGGAATATAATGAATGTTAACAGAATTGCTAGTATTAGTAGTATTTTAAAATTAAAGCATCGCCCAAAAACAAACAAAAAACAATGGTTTTTTTAGAAGAAAAACCTGTCATAAATTTATCACCGAAGAACCTGAATAATCATAAACTTCATCATCATATCACATATTACAATCTCCTTATCACTCGGTCTTGGGCGGGGGTTAGTCTACTCCTAACTTTTTGATATTATAAATAGGACTAGATTAACACCTATTCTGCTCTCCTGTCCGGCGAGCTGTTTGGCGTATGGCTCTGGGGGAGAGCGCAGGTCGTGTTGATCCCTATGGCAAGTCTGAGGAGTTCTCCTTCACGTGGTTGCCGCCTGTTATTTGGTCTGGTTCAATAGGAAACAGACAGAAGGGAAACACTCGGAAGATCCTCTTTTTCTTTTCTTTTATCCCTCCCTTTTCCTATCCTAACCCAATCCAAGGTGTCAAGCGTACCGTGACGATGGATGCGTGGCTGGAGAGAGTCCAGTCGCAAACGGTGCCTATCCGAGACCAGGGCGATTCGGGTAGTATTTTAGCCCTTCCCTCGGCATGCGGGGCTCTGCCGGGGGTGACCAAGTATTTCCCTAGCTAATCGTGGGAACAAAATGGATAAAAACCGACATTTTGTAAAAGACAATGAAAAGTCTCCTTTAATGAAATTAGCTGCATGTTTGGAAGAGGCTCTTTTAGCCTCACCAACACCCTGCAACAGTGCGCCCCAACCTGGGACGAGTCGTGAAGTGGAGGGCATGTTTGCAGCCGAACCACAATCGGAAACGAACCAGGGAGGGAAAAAGAAAAAGTTCGCTAGGCCTTATAAGTTTAGTGGAGCAACGAGGAAAAGGTAGTGCCTTCTCTGCCAGAAGCCTTGGGACGAAATTCCTCTGCCCAAGCCTCCCCCAGTTCCGTAGGCGAAAAAACGCAGTCGGTCTGAGGAAGAGTCCCCCGAAGACCAGCCCAGGAAGACTGTGAAGCTGGCAACGGAGGAGAAGAAGCTCAGCTTCAGTGCCGTAGCTGGCTCCGCGCATATAGGAATTCGCAATTCGAATCCTATGAGTGTGGAGCAGATGCGGCTGGTCCACCGGGCACTAACACAGGCCATCGCTAAGACGGCCTGTGGGGCGCAACCGGGAATGGGTCCAAAATTTTCGGGTTTCACACACAAGCCAGGTTGGATTCTGGTAACGTGCCTGAATAAGGCAAGCCAGGACTGGATTGTAGGTGAAATCGGAAAACTAAAGCCCTGGCCGGAGGCAGGGCTCTCGGTAATACCCAAGGGCGAACTGCCTAAGCCTCAGCTGGGCATTACCTACTTACCCCGCAGCGAAGCCGACTCTCCAGAGGAGGCGCCTGTGCTGTTGAGGGCACAAAATGAAGGGCTCCATACTGAGCTCTGGAGAATCCTCCTCCGAAGGGACGTGGAGAATGGGTTCTTAGTAACCTTTTCTTTGGACGACCCATCGGCGGAGGCTCTTCGGAAGGCAGGCGGCAGAGTCATCCTTGGTTTTAAGATGATAACTTTTAAAGTCAGGGGAGACGCGGCAATGGAGCCCGAAACGCTCCAACCCCAATCCCCCAAGCCCTCCACCTCTCGGGATGAGGCTGGAACGCCACCGGTGAGAGTGACGAAGACCCAAGGCGCAGATTTCGCCTCGGTCCGACGGCCTCCGCTGGTGTCGTCCAGGCCGGGGGGAGGGGAGGTGGGAGCGGTTCGACGAAAGGTAAGGCGGGGGTCAAGTTCGCAGGCAAAGGACTTCCTCGCCCTAAACAGGCGGAAAAGACCCCTGCCCCCCACGGCCATAAATGGCTAAACCCAAGGGTAAGACGAGGGTCCTCCAAGCAAATCTTCACCATGCAGCAGCTGCTTCTGCCGTGGTGGAGGTTTTCTTTGCAGAGGACAACATTGACCTCGCTCTTATACAAGAGCCTTGGGGGGCAAACGGTCAAGTTCTGGGATTGGCGGCTGCCGGAAAGATTCTTGTCAATACCAAAGGCAGTAGACCCAGAGCTCGTATAATTTATAATAAAAATATTGAACTTTTAGCTGACCCAGAGTACTGCAATGATGACCTGCTTGCAGCCTTCATAAATCTCAAGAGATGCACAGGGGCCAGAGTAATCATTTGCTCAGCCTATCTTCCCGGCGAGAACGCTGATCCTACCATCGAGTTAGAGTGAGTGGCGGAGTTCGCCCGAAGACACAACGCCGAACTTGTGGTGGGTTGTGATGCTAATGCTCACCACACAGCCTGGGGAAGCAACAACATCAACGAAAGAGGTGAGTTACTTTATGATTTTCTCATCTCCAACCGCCTAAGCTTAAACTTAGGTTGTACACCAACCTTTGTAACGCGTGCTACGCAAGAAGTGTTGGACATAACCTTTGCTACCAATAACATGTCCAGGCGGGTAAATGACTGGCATGTTAGTAGCGAAAACTCGATGTCTGATCACAAGCACATTAATTTTGTGATTGGAGCATCACCAACCTTTGAAACCGTTACTTTTAGGGATCCGAAAGCGACCTCCTGGGATATCTACAGAGATAGCCTAAGGAGAAATTTGGAAACGTTTCCTAAAAGCATCAAAACAATTGAAGGTCTGGAGTTAGCGACGGAGACAGTAACCGTAGGTATCCGTGAAGCCTTAGAGGACAGTTTTCCCGTCAAAACCAAGACCTCAACACGAAAAGTTTCTTGGTGCAATTCTAAGCTGAAAGAACTTAGGGAAAAGACCAGGAAACTATTTAATAGGGCTAAGAAATCCAAAGAGTGGGATATTTATAGTGCAGCCCTAACTGAATATAATAAAGAAATCAGGAAAGCCAAGAGAGCATCGTGGAGGAAGCTATGCGAGGAAGTTGAGTCTTTGCCTCGCAGTGCAAGACTACACAAGATGCTATCGAAAGCTAAACCTAATCAGATCGGGCTTCTTAAAAAGCCGGATGGTAACTTCACTAATAGTGAGACAGAAACATTGGAGTTACTAGCGTCAACCCATTTCCCAGGGTCACACAAGACTTCAGCCTTGAACTCTTTCACAGCCCTATGAAGGCCTTGCAATGAGGACTGGTGTAGCGCTGCAAAAATAATAAGGCCAAACCTGGTGCAGTGGGCTGTTGACTCCTTTGAACCATTTAAATCAAGCAGGGAGGTGGAATAATTCCTATCCAACTACAGAGGGGTATCGGCATCCTTCTTCCTTATCTGGTGAAAATCTTCAGAGCAAGTTTTGCATGGGGATATATTCCAGAACGATGGGCAATTGTCAAGGTTCTATTTATACCTAAGGCGGGTAGAAAGGACTACGCTTCCAAAGTCCTTTAAACCTATAAGCCTATCTTCCTTTCTTCTTTAGACATTGGAAAAGGTTATAGATAGATATATAAGGGATGTAGCTCTAGCTACGAGGCCTATACATTACAACCAGCATGCTTACTGCAGAGGCAAATCTACGGAAACGGCCCTGATCAGTGTCATTGACAGGGTCGAAAAAGCACTGGAGGATAAAGAAATAGCTCTTTGTGCCTTTCTAGATATTGAGGACGCCTTCGACAGTAGCCTGACATCTAAAAATGTTGATCCCACAACCATCAAATGGATGAAGTCGATGCTCTCAAACAGAAAGGCAAAAATAGGGCTGTTTCAAACTTCGATTGAGGTTGCAACCACAAGAGGCTGCCTACAAGGAGCTGTTTTGTCATCCCTTCTTTGGACTCTTGCGGTTGACCAACTATTGTACAAAATGGCAGACCTACGCATTGACACATTGGGTTATGCTGATGACCTTGTGATCATTGCGAGGGGCTTTTGCCAAAGTACTTTATCGTCAATAATACAAAGAGCTCTAAACACCATAAATAACTGGTGTGGGGATAACAGTTTATCAGTTAATGCTGATAAAACTGTGATAACACCCTTTACCAAAGAGAGACGGTTGGACAAATTAGTCCAACCAAAACTTAATGGCAAAGAAGTACCATTCTCCACGGAAGTTAAGTACTTTGGCGTAACAATCGACCAGAAACTAACGTGGAACTCTCACCTTAGTAACGTATGCCATAAGACAAAAGTTGCTTTAGGTACGTGCAGTAGTTTGGTCGGGAACAACTGGGGCTTACGTCCCAGTATGGTCCTATGGCTGTACAACTGCATAGTGAAGCCGATTCTGACCTACACCTCTATTGTCTGGTGTAATAAGGCCGACCAAAAGACGACTGCGGACAGATTTAATAGTCTACAAAGGACTGCCTGCTTAATGGCAACTGGAGCTATGCGATCATCGCCTGGAGGGGCTCTTAATGCACTTCTATGCCTAACGCCCCTTGATCTCTATCTAGACAAGGAGGTGAGGGCTAGTTTGTATAGGGTTAACGCCCAGGGCGGTCTGAGCTTGCTCTCATACAGATTGAGATCCATGCTCGACTCAATTAAGGAATCACCGGTCTTATGCATGATCTCAGATATCATGCGTCCACTACACACTTTTGATAAAATGTATATAGGGGAATTACCCTTCAGAGTAGACTGGCTGAATGGCCAGGTTATCTGTGAGGTCGGTAGCCTCATATGATATACCGATGGGTCTAAAATGGGCCTCGATGTAGGCTTTGGAATTTACGGAGAACGCTTCAAATTCAAACTTAGTATGAATTTGGGTAGATACACCTCTATCCTCCAGGCAGAAATTTTCGTCATACCTCGGTGTGCGGATCAATCTGCAAAAACACTACGTCAACCATAAAATTTACATAAACTCTGATAGTCAAGCAGCACTGCTAGCGCTGAGATCAAACTTAGTGAACTCAAAGCTAGTTGGAGACTACGTGAACTGTTTAAACGCCCTGGAATGTAACAATAGGGTCGTTTTAAGATGGGTTCCGGGTCACGAGGGTATTGTAGGCAACGAATTTGCCGACAAACTTACACGGGAGGGCTCAAAGTGCACACAATTTGGACCTGAGCCATTTTGTGGAATTTCAAGAAGCCTAGCCCGATTGACCCTTGAAACTCTTTATCACAATAAATCACTTAAGATCTGGTCTGACACACCAGGCTTAAAACATTCTAAAACCTTAATCCGGGCTTTTGATCGTAAATTCGCTTCAGAAGCCCTGGGATTAAGTAAAAATAAATTGCGCATTCTGGCAAGAGCCCTAACTGAACACTGTTGTCTTAAAAAGCACATGTCCATCCTGGGACTAAGCAACTCAAGGATGTGTCGGTTCTGTTCCATAACGGAAGAAACGCCTCTACATATAATAACTGATTGCGGACCCTTAATGCGCAAACGTAACACTCTTCTGGGTCACTATCTACTCCGCCCAGAAGAAGTGAAATTGATCACGGCTCCACACGGCACAACTCCTTCGATTCATTGAAGACATAGGGCTTAGCCGTGAACTATAGCCAAATGCCGAAGCGACACTGACCGGGCGGCAGGAAACAAGCTTCAAGACGCCGATAGGTTAGGTAATTTCTTTTTACAGTGAAAATAATGGTAATTAAAAAAAATAAAAAACATAAGCCCTGCTTTATAGTTAGTTCGGTTAGTATGCAAAGTTTCATGATCTAATTTAAAGTATTTTATGAATAGCAGCGGTTTATTGTTCAGTTTGGAGGTAACTTTGGTTTTTTTCTATCGAGAAAATTTTACGGAATCGTGGAAAATATAGTAGTAACATAGTACTCAACTTTAGCATATATTTATTTCAAAATTAATGCTGCAATATTTTCGGCATAACGGAGGATCTTGCTAAGCTTAATATGGTCACTTTCTTATAACATAAAAACTACAGCCTTGTTTGCATAGATGGCTTTATGATACGATAGCATTTCATCGGTCAATCAAAGGATAAGGGGTCAAAAGGGCGCAGCTTTATCGACGCCAATTTGACAGTTGACATTATAGTAAATATTAGTCGATTTGAGTATGGTGTAGCTTAGTAAGTTTTATTTAAGTGGATTTTTCGAAGTCGTCCTAATCATTGCCAAAGCTTGTTTGTTTTATTTCTTAATCAATCAGTTACTGTATAGGACTATATTTTGTCTCTGTCGTACTCCTAGTTTAGGTTTTGTAGGGATGAAAAGCTTAAACGATGATAATTTACCTTGGAGCTCTTCCATGGTACCGCACTGACCACCGTATTCCTTTGGCATCATTTCTTGAGGAACGTACTTGATCAAATCCTTTAACTCTTTATGAATAAAGATCTGAAACAGAAGTCCACAACCTCCAAATTCAGTATCGATTATTTTGATCTGTATATATGTGAAAAACGAACACACTATACACGAAACAGGCTTTTCTCTGAGAGCGTGATAGCGTTAGTTATAGCCACAATACATTTGCAACGAGACTAATTCGTTAAAACCAATTTACAAAATTTTAAAGGATACTCCATGTATTTCAGTTATTTTATTTTAATATTGCCCAACTACTCAAACGCTGCTCAATTATAAGATGGTTAAGTCTCGTTCTGTCTCTATTACTTTAAGTCAAAGTGACTGTGACACGACGACACTCAACGACATCTTAAAATAGAGTAACGTTTTAGTAGTCGTATTTGACCATAAATCATATAAAATTGAAAATATATAGAGAAAGAATGTAAAGCCAAAATAAGCGGTGAAACCCGTAAAACATAGTTTTATTCAATGAGTAAAATTCATGTTAATATATATATATATATATATATATATATATATATATATATATAAAATATATAGCTGTAGCAAGAGTGGGTCGGCTCGATCGCGACATGACCACGCTCTCATAGAATACCATCGTAAAATAGTTGCTTGATGCTGCTGTGTTTCTTATGGTGAGTGTACCGGAGATCCTTTTTATTCTAATCGAGGCATTCCATCTTAGTCATCAGGGGTGACAACGCATTTACATTTTGATTTTTTATTGAGGATAAATGTGGATGTATACGGGACATAGCATCCACTTACCATCAGGTGGTATAAAAAAAAGAAAACATCACTTAAGGGTCTAAAATATTATTTGAAATCGGCATTTCTTCTTAGCTACCATTCCACTTACCCTCTTTTTGATCTTATCCTTCAGGAAAGGCTTAACAAAGGTAACAAATTTTTCTACGATAGGCGATGTATTAATTATGTGTACTTCTTTCAGCTTCACGGGATAGGCCTCCTGTAATAAGCACATTATAATTTTAATAATAAATAAATATAAGGTATAGAACAGACGGATAGAGCCAATTATGAAACAAAGAGGTTTTATCTTTGTTTTTTTTTTAACTAAACTAACTAAGCTACTGCCGCAATTGGACACCGGCACCAACTTTAGACAAAGACGACTACAGAATCGTTGTCACATTTGAGAAATAAGATGGAATGTCTCATATAACCTGTAATTATTTTGGCTGTCTTTACTCTTCTGACCGTGTACTGGCGGTGTAAGAATTTCCACTACCCCATATCATCCCGTGGGTGTCGTAAGAGGCGACAGAGAGACACAAATCAGGAGATGAGCAGCAGCGTCTTTTTAATAACGACTGAAAATAGTAAAAACGGTTGCCAACCCGCTTGCCAAGCATGGCAATTATAGCAAATGTCCCCCCAATGAGGCAATCTGTGGGGGAGGCTTATGCTCAGCAGTAGACTTTAATAGGCTGTAACGGTACAGTATCCTTCTGACTGGAACACTGAGGTCCAAGTACTTTCGTTTGGCGATAGGAAGAAATAGTCGTAAGTCAAAGTACCTTCAAAGATGGACTCGTAGCACAGATTACCCCGTTACTCGTAGGCAGAGAAAGAGTAAACAAATAGGATTTTATACCAAATCATAAAAATGACCAAAAAATTATCAAGACAAAAACGGAAATCTCTTCCTTTACTTTACTTTGGGATATTGATTTTAACGATAACACTGTCCACATCCAAAACATGACTGAAATCAGTCTTTCAGACAATTTATTTCAGGACAGAGAAGTAGAGAAGTAGTAGTAAGTAGTAGAGAAGAGAAGAAGAAGAGAAGGAATAGCTAGAGGGCAATAAATTAATTTGTTTAAATAAATATACATTGTGTGGTGATTTTGTTCGTCACTCCATTTCGTCTCGTAGGTGTTTTAAGAGATAAAATGGGATATAATACAGAGCGAGAAAATGCTGGGAGATCTCGGTTTTCTTTTATGATATTTTTCTTTATCGTCAATTGCTTTACGTTTTTTTTTAGTAACGTATCCCTTACACTAGAATTTACGCCTGAATTGTGAAAGCGATTTACATTACATATGTAAAAACATTAAAACACTGATCAATAATTTGTAAGCATATAAACACGTGCTCCGTGCAGGATTCGAACCCGAAGCTCAACAGCGTTACTAAGCCGTTAATTACACTGTAGATTTCGGTGTGACGTGAAAACTGATGTGGTAGACCTATAAACTCTGTAGCTTGCAATAGCAAATGTGGGTCACTGTTCGTCCACTTTTGCTAATCATTTATATTGTAAATATTTTACTTCAGCTATGGGACTCTTTCAATGTAGAAAAGATTTAAATATACATTTTCATGGATTCTTTCTCTTACTTAGGCCAAATTCGATCATATTGGTTTATCGTAACTCTGTCCTGTGGCGCAGACGTGTAGCATGATTGCTAGTTTAGATGCAAAATTATACGTGATTATCTATATATAACTTCCGTTCCACACAAAACGTCGTATCTGCTGATACACTAACGCCAGTTTTACATTTTGAGTGAGTGTTTAGTGCGTGTGAACTGGCAGTGAGAAGTGATAAGTGTGAATGAGATTCGCATTAAGCACTTGTCAAGAGCCGTGGTAGCTCAGATGGTTACCGCTCGCTGTAAATATAACAGAACGCGAGTAACCCGGGTTTGATCCCCGCTTGCACCAATGAAATTGTTAATTTCAATTTTAGGTGCTGATTTACCACGTGCTCGGCGGTGAAGGAATATAGTTCGTGAGGAAACCTGCATGTCTGAGGAACAAGGAACAAAAAAAATATTTCGAAGACATGTGAAGTTCAACAACACGCATTGGGGCAGCGCGGTGGACAATTCCTTGCCCTAAAACCCTCTCAGAAATGAGGGGGAGGCCTGTGCCCAGCTGTGGGACGTATCTATATACGTCCCATGGGGACAGGCCTCCCTGTAACTTTTTATTACTTTTATAGGAAGTGCTGTAACTTTACTTTACTTACTTTTATAGGACACACATATCGTGATCGGTAGTAATATTAGTAAAGATAATTTCAGTTTACATACATAAATTGCACAAGGACAAACGAACAATTATTTGTAGGCCATACAAACACACGTTAAGTGTGGTATTCGAACCCGCCCATAAGACCCTCAGTCGTCAGTCAGTCAGTCGAAGTACGGACGTATTACGATATATATCACAACCTGACTACGTTAATTTTTTAACTTTTCTTCTGCTATAGTTTATTCTATTTTAATATTTTTTTTTAAAAAAATTAAAAATAAAAAAAATAATAAAAAAAATAAAAATTTAAAAGGGGGGTTTTTTGGGTTTTTGTGAAGAGGAAACGATAGATTTCTTAAAAGCATTTAATGTTAGTTTGTACTGTAACAAGAATTTACCTGAACGCAAATCATAAATTTCTTAATAACAGCGGGGGAAAGTCGAGCTAGTAGACTGGGACCGAGCACTGCTGCGTCCAGCACGTAGATGTCGCCCGCAACGCCTTCCACCTCTTCGCTCAGGCGTATGTCACCGATCATAAGTGCCAGCTTCAATGTATCGGTGATTTGTTGACCGTCAAGACTTGGGTGGATGCCTGGATAGCAACAAATATATTTATTTATTTAATTTATACTTACAATACACATAGTAGGTAAGGAATATTATCACGAAAACATTCACATTTCTGCACTCTGATAAGCAAATCAATAACAAGTGTACGTAACATTTTCAGATTAAGTCACGTAAATTTAATTTTGGATTAATTTGGCTTTAAGGATATATATATATTTTTTTTTTTTATATATATATATATATATATATATATATATATATATATATATATATATATATATATATATATATATATATTATTTCGTGCTCCTACATTAAATAAATATAAAGAGACATTAAGCAAATAAATTGTGTACATAAATAAGAAAAACACAATAAATTAAAAACAGAATTAATTATTAGGAGACGGTAAATATACATACTAAGTATTTCATATAAAACTTTCTTCAGGACAAACTTTAATTTTCTTAGATATATCTTGTACTTAAAAACCTATTAGAACCCTAACCTATTATATCCACGGGACGTTATAGGTTAGCGAATTTTCATAGGCAGCTAAATCATGACGTAATATATACAGTCCTAACGATTCAATAACCATGTAAATGGACTTATTTTTGCTAATGTGAATAAAGCCTTAGATATTAAGATCCCAGTTCCATCACATTCTTGTGTAATAACCGACATTTGGTTGGATTACTTGTTTATGCTAATTCAGTACGTGATCTAAGGTACAAAGATCTTGTTAGGCTCGTTGGAAGGATTTTTTTTAATTTGATACATCTTATAGTCTCATACACGGATTAAATGTATTTTTATGAACTTCCTACGTAACTTGGACGTGTGGTGCGGGCCTGAAATAATTCCTAACTTCAAAATGTACTATCGGTGTTGAAAAAGATAAAATGGGTAATGGCAGATAACTTCATGGCCTTCAATAGGTGACTTCGGTGTCATGAGATGATTGAAAATTCGCATGCGTATTTGAGCGTGGCAATGATGAAAAATCCTCACATACCTATGTTATTATAATAGGTTTACAGGTTGACAACTTGGCAATGATGACGACAAAAATAAATAAAAATTTTGGTTAGAAGTCAATCTAGTCTCTTACCTCGACAAATTGTAACTCTTCTGCCGTTTGGTGTAACTCCAGGAAGTGGTGGACCTTGTCTGTAACAAGAAAAACAAATTTGTTACTTAAATTAAAAAAAAATTGTGTAGTATTTTCCCCTGTGTCGTGAAGGCTTTATTAATACATAATTGAACATGAAAATTCGGGATATTAGCCCGCAGAAAAATGTTTTAGGACCTGAGCTATCAAGAAATCTATAACCAATTGCTAAATATGTTGACCTAGTCTTCTTTAGAAATCCATTTAATAGCCTCTTTGAACCCAGTAAATGCCATTTACAGGTTCGTAAGCCGCATTAAAAGTTTGCTTTGCAAACCCACTTGCCAACCGTGCTTGCTGGTGGCAACTTGGCAAATCCCCCATAAGTTGTTCTGGGAGGGATGGATAGATGGAGCCGTTACTTCAAACAATTTGAAAACAAAGAAATCGCAGAGTTCAAGGTTCAGAATTTATGTGGGATGTGTCATTCGTACTGTGTTTAGTCTCAGGTACTACTCCCAGGGGAAGAAATGAAACAGTATTTGTTTTACCTTGGCAAAAGATAATGATGTCTTTTACCTCGACAAATTGTAAACGGCGTAGAGGTTTTATACGAGAAAGAGCCACGTTCCAGCTATATTGTGGTAGTAGCACGAATGGGTCCGACCGGGGCAGGACCACGCTCTTATTGTGTGAGTGTAGAGAACCGGAGACCCTTTTTACTGGAATCATGGTATTCCATCTTAGTTCTTAGGGGTGACAACGCATTTGCATTTGATTCTTAATTGAGAATAAATGTGGATGTGTAAGGGTCACAGCAACCACTTACCAGAGTGTGGACCTGCTCTCAAAGAATGCCAGCGTGAAACAGCAGTTTAATGCTGCTGTGTTTCATTCGTTCACTGCCGTAGTTTCATTTGTAGTGTAGAGAACCAGAGACCCTTTTTACTGGAAACGAGGCATTCCACCATTAATCCTCAGTGGTAATACCGCATCTCGTTTTGCGTTTTCATTCTTAATTGGGGATAAATATAGATGTCTATGGACCACAACACCCAGTTACTATCATGTGGACTGTGTGTTCTTTGGTCATCCTTATTCTATAAAAAAATTAATTTTTTTGTAAATTAAGGGTAACAAACGAGCACACAGTCCACCTAATGGTAAGCTGCTGTGGCCCATAGACTAAGCCATAAGCTGTGGCCATAGGCTCTAACACGTAAAAAAACTTTTAATTATAATCATTTATAATCTATTATAACGTGTAATATTTACAGTCTGTTAAAAATATTCTATTCCCTCTATTCTATTCTATTTGAAGTATGAATGAGTGAATGAATGAATATAATTTATTGTACACCATAAACAAATTTACAAAGAACATAACAGAGAGCAGATTACATGTACAATTTGGCAGCCTTATCGCTACATAACGATCTCTTCCAGGCAATCAAAGGTGTAAAGGAATAAAACAGTGAATACTAGGTAGGTGGTGCAATATAAATATACCTAATATAATATCAATACATGCAATAAAATAACATATAAATAACTGACACATTAAAATATGTTACACATATACACACATACATATATATATACATACACACACACACATATATATATATATCCTCAAATATATTCCTCAAACAATAACATAAACAAATAAATACAAAAACTATCATAATTTATCCTAATGATTTTTGAACGATTGAGACAAGTAATGCTCTTTAAGAAGTCGCTTAAAGACTACAATGGTTTGTTCTTCGCGTATATACAAAGGTAGGGCATTCCACAGCTTAATAGACTGGACAGTAAAAGATTTATTAAAGAAAGATGTATTGTGAGTTGGTACCCTTAAAATGAGTTTTTTTTAAGACCCAACAAAACTAAACTTCTCCTTTAGATAAGGAGGAGTAGAAGGGTGAAATAAGACACGGTACAGAATAGAAAGAATATGCATGTTCCGGCGAATTTGCATAGGTAACCACTTGAGACGTGAGCGAAACTGGGAAATAAGGTAAAATTTGCGCAATCCAAATATGAACCGAATACTAGTATTTTGAAGTCTCTCAAGCTTAGTTAGCTGGTCTTTAGTTATGTCTACATAGCTTGCGTCAGCATAGTCGAGAATCGGAAGGAGAAGAGACTGTGCGAGCATAATTTTTGTAGGAATGGGAAGAAATGATCGAAGACCACGCAGTGAACTAAGAGCGACAAAGGTTTTCTTACTTACTCATTCACGTATTCACGTACTTTCTCATTCAGTTGGTGTTTCCAATTTAAGGAACTATCAAGGTAAACACCAAAATTTTTGACATTGTCAAAGTAAGGGATTACAACCCCATCGAATACATTAGGTGGTATGGAGAATCAGTCAATTCTTGAGATAAAGCTCTGACTACCAAAAATGATAGCCTGTGACTTTTTAGGATTGACATTTAGGCCATATTATTGACTCCACTCACTAATCATATTTAAGTCATTGTTTAATGTAACGATTGCATTCGGCAAATTCTCAAGAGTTAACTGGGTGTAAATCTGGAATATGATAGTGGTAGAGAGAAGAAATGTTATGAGTAATTGAATTAATGAAAATGGAAAAGGTGGCAACACGCCACCCTGCGGCACGCCTGCAGTAATATCACACCAAGATGAGTGAGTTTCATCAACATGAATACACTGCCGACGGCCACAGAGATAACTTTGAAACCAGTCAATTACTGATGGAGATATGTTAAGGGAATACAACTGACTCAACAGTATATCAAAGTCAACAGTATTGAACATATTTATTTTATTTATTATTATTGAAGCATTACTGAAATCTAGCAAGGTCATGATTGTGAGTTTTTTATTATCCATACCCCACCGTATGTCATCAGTAACTTTAATTAAGGCAGTAGCCGTACTATGACCAGGACAGAAACCGGATTGTAAAGAATTCAACAAATTGTGCTTATTAAGGAAAAGGGTCAGCTGTTGGCAAATAAGTTTTCAAGGACTTTAGAAAGGAAAGGTAAAATCGAAATGGGACGGAAATCAGTGAGGTTGACGGGATTAGATTTCTTCGGAAGGGTATAACATAAGCACTCTTCCAGGCTTGAGGAAATTTAGAGGAAGATACACATGCATTAAGCAAATGAGTGATAATGGGAGTGATAACATCAAGGAGAGGAACGATCATATTACGGCAAATGCTGTCGCTACCGACGACAGCATTTGAGGAGATGGATAATATGATCTTTTTAACATCACATACAGTAAATTGCCTAAAAACGAACGGAGAGTAATTAGGAGTTGGACTTACAGAAAGAGAACGAAGTGTTTGCAGTTTATGTTCACTATCGAAAGAGTTAGGATTAGAAAAATGTTGAATTAATAGTTCAACATCAACACTGGGAGGTGAAGCATTAAGAGAGGTTCTACCAACTCCAACTGTTTTAAGAAACTTCCACACCCTAGATGAGTCGCCGTTCTCGACTGATGAATGAATATGGCGTCGTTGTGTATCTCTACACAATGTGTTGCAGCGATTCCGGATTTTAGTGTATTTTCTAAGGTTTTCCTCTGTTTTGTTCCTCTTAAGCGTTGACAATGCCGCATTCTTCTTCAAAATTAGCCCTTTCAGATCATCAGAGAGCAATGGAGCAGGTAAGTGATTGAGTTTAATATGATGCATTGGCGCGTGTACGTCATATAGCTGTGTGAGAAGATAATTGAAAAGTTCCACTTTAAGAAAATAAAGAAGAAGTATGTTGGCTAACATTTAAATAGTATGCAATATCTCGTAAACTACTGTTTGCTTAATAATTATTGTTTACTCTATCGTTTATTGCTTCGTAATGTATTACGCAGTCCCCAAGTGACGACGACACATTGACCTTGAGGAAAACCAAGGCTGATGTTCCTTAACGTCATGGCGGCTGGGAAATACGACTTAAATCCTAACATGTTTATTGCTAAATTTGCGTGACTAGGCTTTTGTGATGGTGCCAAAGGATTAGCCAAGAGCACGTTTTCGAGTTGTGCTTCTCTAAGATATGTCTATACTTGTTCAGGAAGTGGTCTTTTATGCTAGTTTGTATTGACTTTTCTTAACAAACATTGTTGGTTGTTACTACTCTTGTAGGTATGTTAAGTAACTTTTATAATCAAAATGAATAACCTCGTTCCTTATGTAAATATTAACTGTGTTATATAAAGGAAATTCCCAGGAAATGGGGCTTAAACAGTCTATTAATAATAATATTTTTGACGGGGTAGAGCCACGTTGTACTCGTAACTATAAATTATGGTTGTAGTACGAATGGGTCTGCTCGGTCGGGGAAGGAGCATGCCATCACAGAATCCCAGTGTAAAATAAAAGCTAAATACTGCTGTAACGTAATTCGCGTAGTTAGTGTCTACACTTTTTCTTATTCCTATGAATCTTTTTTTATTTATTTTTTGTATCAATGTCACGTTTTTTTCAAGATTTCCTCCTGTATCGAGATTTACATACAGAAATCTTGCATGGACAAACATTTATAGGAATCACACCCGGAACAAAAATTTGTAGGCTTATATGAAAGCTTTTTTTAGTGCTGGATCCAAATCCGTGGCTAAACCACCACTGCACTATGGAGCCGTTTTGCTGATAAGGACGGATTCTATCATAGTCCTCAGGTTTGACGACGCATTTTTGATTCTTTTACCATCAGGTGGACTGTGTGACCGTTTGTTATCCTTATTCAATATTTGAAAAAAGTAATTAAAGTAAATTACATAAACTAAATAAAATATTTAAAAAAATATAATTCTAATACTTACAATTTGCCTTTCAAGATCTCACTTAACTCAGGACTAGTCGCATCTCGATTTGAGAAGAATTCTGGACACGCTGCGCGCATTGTGAAATACATGTCCAATTTTCTTTTGCATTTCTCCAGGGAGAAACTACTACCTCGAAGAAACGTTATTAGCGGCATATCCTCTGTAAAAATTAATAAAATTGTAGCAAAATCTTACGGTATTATGCAATTTGCACGAAATTTGATCAACAATGAAACAGTCCCGTCAACTCGAAGCCTAAATTGTTACATTGTTTACTCATTCATTCATCATTCACTAAAGTAAAGTAAATTTACAAGAAGCCTATATTAATAAATAGTAATAAAAAGCGTCCCACTGCTGGGCACAGGCCTACTCTCACTTCTGAGAGGGCAATGAATTATCCGCCTCCATGACCCAATGCATTTTGGCGAACTTCACATGTCTTCCAAATATTTTTTTGATTGGTGCCGGCGAGCGTCGAACCCGGGTTGCTAGCCTACTGTGAAATTTACAGCGATCGCTAAGCCCCTGAGCTACTACGAATCTATATACATATACATCATTAACAGCAGCCTATTGACCGTTAAGTTTTTTTTATATAGAATAAGGGTGACAAACGATCACACAATCCACCTAATGGTAAGTGGTAGCTGTGGTCCATAGACATCAACATCTATCCTCGATTACGAATCAAAATGCATATGCGTTGTCACCCGTGAGGACTACGATGGAATGCCTCCTCTTCAGTAAGAAGGGTCTCCGGTTCTCTACACTCACCATACGAAACACAGCAGCATTAAACTACTATTTTACGCTGATATTCTGTGAGAGTATGGTCCTTCCCCGGTCGAGCCGACCCATTTCGTCCTACAACTATACTACTAATAATACTGCAGCCTGGCTCTACCACGTATAAAACGTTGCCAACCCGCCTGCCAAGCGTGGCAACTACGTCAATGTCCTCTATGAGGTAATCTATGGACGAGGCCCATGTTCAGCAGTGGAATTTCCTAGGCTGTAATGGATGGATGAATGGATAATTATCAAATTATTTCTTACCCCATTCATCAGGCAAGTGCGGTTGCTTTTTGAGCCATTCTTTTATCGCTGCCAAATCTTTATAACGGGTGTTAACGTCTTCTTTAAGCTCTTCACGGATCTTCTTTGAAATCTCACCCGAGGGCTGGACTAAGAGGTCGGTCTTCAGCTTCATTTTCACTGAAATTATAACATATTTACATATAAATTCACGGAATAAAGGACCTTAAGCTATATATTAGCCTAATGTTCAGATTAGTACGTTTATAGTTAAAAACAATAGACGATTCTATTACTTCGTTAGTTTGGTAGCAGATGAATCGACAGCAGACGATATTGGCACTCAGAGAAAAGAGCATATTCCTCTTCATATCACTATTTTCTTCAGAACAGAAGAACTCAATCGCTATAGATCATTAACTAAAAGCCATAATTAAGAATAATTTCAAACAACGAAGGTGATCATATTGAATCTCTTATTCTTCGGTTAAGAAAGAGGAAATAAGTGCATTAACGCTTTGCAAAATATTTAGGTCTAAGATGTTGTAAGAACCTAATTTTTTATTTTGAATAAAAAAAGATACACAAAAAATTGGCAACTACAATGTATATCATGTTTAGTGAAGCATATCGTTTATTGTATGTTTTAACACTTTAATATTAGTGCTAGTATTATTATATAGGTATTATATTTATTTTATATATTGATTTCATTATATCAAAGACCTCAATACATTAGCATTGAAATTAAAAAATGTTTTATCGCACACGATTGATGCAGAAATTGCTTATTTTATATTCTTTATAGGATTGATTTTAAAATATATATTGATAAATATCCTTAAAGATGAACAGCGGTGGCGTAACAGAACAGTTCACCCGAATTCGGTCTTAGGTTTCCTAAGAAGCGACAACGGGAAAAATCAGAAAGACCTCGTGACCCCCGATAGACGGCGGTGTACCATGACAGATATAAACTCCCAGAATTAAATCCCAGTATTGTGATCGCCAATCCTTACCACAATAAGAGAGTCATGCTCTGCAATGAACCTAAAGAAAACCCTAGGCACTAGATCATAGTCATGAAATTTTTATTTTTTCACCATCTGAAATTTTGCAGACGTATGGAAATTTCAGATTATATAGACCTTTGACTACTACCTATTAGATGATGGAAACACGGAAGGAATCATGTCCATCACTCAATCGTAACCGTAAGTACCATACGAGATAAAATCCATAAAAGAAGTTTCATTTCATGTGTAGTGTTCGCGTAAATATAAGAAGACATCGGAATAATTACACACAGGTTTGACATTATTAAGCTATTGCATAGCTTTTAGCTTGCATAGCTTCTATCGCGGGCCTTGAGCGCGGGTACCGAATCCAGAAATTCCGTAACGAAAAAAAACCTCACGCTCCCCACTCCGACGGCCACGGAGGTGTGGCGTTGAAAGCCGTGCATCGTCTAACGTCGTTTCAGTTCGGCAGACTTCTGCACTCGGCGGAGTTCGGCACGGTGTTTGTGTGCGTGCGACTAGACGTATGCGTGTACACTAGCTGCTAACTGAATGATAAAAATTCCTGAATAACCTACATGTATTGTAAGACATTAAAAATATTTTAAACAATATTAACTTCTCATTTATTCAATAAGAGAAATAAAATGTTTTCTTATCGGTCACCACTCTCAAGAAGTGTAACTTGATTTAATATCAAAAACTTAACTGCATAAATAAAATAAATAAATAATTATAATTGCATAAGTTGATAAAAAATGCTATGCAATAGCTTTACCGTGACAGTCACCGAGTGCCACACGTATTTTTTTATATGTATATATTGAGTTGTCCCCACGTCAACCACGTTTCACCTAAAACTACTTTAGATCGTATCGCATAAGCGTTCCGTGTATGTGGATACATTAATTTGCCGAGATACCGAGTTATGATATGGTATTCATAATATGAGGTTGATATATTTTATATATTAGTTATATATTAATATACCTATATAGTTGACATATTAATATTGTAATTTTCCATAGATTATAGCAAAATTTTCTGTAATCTATGCAAATAAGTAAAATTTAAGTGTCTATTTGTAATGTCAAAATAACAGTTTTTTACTAAATGCATATGAAAGTATATACCTAGGGTGCCTATAACAAACAAAAATCTAAATAAAATAAGTTAATTATACGCGATAAAATTCGTATAGATAGTTTTATTCAATGTGTAGTGTTCGCGTAAATTTAAGAAATCATTATAAAAAACGTTAAATTTTTTTGATGTCTGTCTGTTCGTTCCAGCTAATCTCCAAAATAGCTAGACCGATTTTGACTTGACTTTCACTGGCAGTTAGCTGATGTTGTAAGGAGTAATTTAGGCTACTTTTATTTAAAAAGTAATTACGTTTGCGCGTAAATAAAGTTAAAACCTACGAAACCAAGGTGACTTGTTTGTCATAGTCCACCAGTGTATGTTGTGTTATGACCCATAGACACCTAAATCTATCCTCGATTATGAATCAGAATACAGATGTGTTGTCACACCTGAGGAGTGACAGGAAACAGCCGTATTACGCTGAAATTTCACGCTGTTAGCGCAGTATAATAAAGAAAATTTATTTACAGTGCTTTTACTATGTGTGAGTGTGATCCTGCCCCATTCGAGACAATCCGTTCGTGATGTGGCCATAATACATCTGCAATTCGGCTCTACTTTGTGTCCATGATTATTTTGTGTTTATTCCTTACCTATATAAATACATAGTCCCACAGTATGGTTTGGAATTGTAATGGATACTTGGGTGATCGTGTATTGCTAGCACACGTAACGTATAACGGTAAGGCATTAACATATTTACATAACCTCTCCTCGCTTCATCCGAGTCGTACCGATAATGTTAGCAATTTGTTTCAATTGTTAATGGGTTATCATAAATTTTAAGCATCTATTACATTTATTGAACGATTTAAGGCTCATAATTCTACCATATAATGTAATGGTTTCAATTAAGGAAATTTCACAAGTTACACTATAAGTATATTGTTTTCAATTTGATCTGACGTGCTCGGTGTCTCAGTAATGCTGTGAAATTTATGGTTATGTACGTTTGTAACCTTCTGTAATTAAAAATATTTCATAAGACTATTCTTTTTTTTGATTGTTTTTTAATTTTTAAGGCATGAAATACATTTCAGCTGAATTTCATTTAATGCAAAATGCAAGGATGTTAATTCATTTGAAAAGCATAAAATGTATTTAACTTTTAAGGTTTGACTAAAGTTTACTATGTAGGCACTTTATCTAAAAACAATGGTATGGTTTGTAGAGTAATAATGTCCTCCACGTCATATTTATTGTACAGGAGTATATGCGCAAACACAGGTGTGCTCTCAGTCTGTAAAGTAAATAAATCACTTTCTTATATTCTTGATGCGATGTGTTTGGATTATTAATTGATAATAGATATAGATATTAATATAATAGCATATATAAAATAGTGTATATGACCTGTAGTAAATGTATAGCAATAGAAGAAGTATGTACTCTTTTTACATTGGAAAATGTATTATCTACGAAAACAAAGTTGCTACTATTCTGTATTTGGTCACAACAAGATCAATTTTGCTACGATTTCATATTTCCGTACAGATTTATATTATAGCTGAAACTAATAATTAAATTAAATCAAAATATCGAGAATTTAACCTCTAGGTGTGGTAATTAAAGGTTTTCTAATTCACGGGCATTGCGGACAACTGCTCGTGAAAAATGTCAAGTATAGACCTTTCGTCACTCTCACGCGTACTATACACGCATACAATGTAGTACAGTGAAATTAAAATCGTGTCGTCATCAAGGATTTTTGCCAACTCGTTTGTTTTATATTGGTGAAAGTTGTCCATGACTAGGTTTACCGTATCGACATTTAGAGTTTTTGGACAACAGACGGATATTTGAATAAAATTGGGACATTTTTTAAAATTTACCATAACAATAGAACATGATCCGCTTAGTGTTTAAGGACTAATAATTTTGAGGCGGCCCTTTGATAGTTCTGTTATGAGAATCTGCCCTTCGCTCGCTTTCCATTCTATTAAAAATTAAGTTTAACGCATGATTTTAATATCAATGTTTTCTAAATATCGAAACTACTCTAATAAAATTTTGAACAATAGTACGACAATGGGAGACCAAAAATCGTATAACTGGTTACCGCACCAGTTACGTAATATAATATGGTGATTATGGTGTAAAGAATTCGTGGTAGAAAATAAATACTTGAACACACACGAAAAAACTAGAAATCTAAAATATACGTTAAATGTTTTCTTTATTTTTAACGTATTACAATAAAAAACAGCGAGCGTTAACCACTGAGCTACCACGGCTCTAAATATAACAGAACGCGAGTAACCCGGGTTCGATCCCCGCCGGCACCAATGAAATTGTTAATTGCAATTTTAAGTGCTGATTTACCATGTGCTCGGCGGTGAAGGAAAACATCGTGAGGAAACCTGCATGTCTGAGGAATAAGAAAAAAAATATTTCGAAGACATCCGAAGTTCGTCAACACGCATTTGGGCAGCGCGGCGGACACTTCCTTGCCCTAAACCCTCTCAGAAATGAGGGGAGGCCTGAGCCCAGCAGTGGGACGTATAAAGGCTGTAACTTTACTTTTTTTACTTTTTTAACGCATGATTTTTATATCAATGTTTTCTAAATATCAAAACTACTCTAATAAAATTTTGAACAATAGTACGACAATGGGAGACCAAATATCGTATAATTGGTTACCCCACCAGTTACGTAATATAATATGGTGATTATGGTGTAAAGAATTCGTGGTAGAAAATAAATACTTGAACACACACGAAAAAACTAGAAATCTAAAATATACATTAAATGTTTTCTTTATTTTTAACGTATTACAATAAAAAAGTGTGCTTCTTTAATTATTTGGTGATTGTAACTTTATAAGTATTTTTTATAGAAGTTCACACTTACTTCGCAACAAACAAACACGAACACACAGTCCACCTGTGGTGAGAGCATGATATAACCCATAGATGGATAATGTAAAAGGAGGACTTTTACATTAAGAACCAAAATATACTAGAGTTCATCCTAATCACTAATGTGGAATACCGCGTAATCAGTAAAAAGGGTTTC